GGCAGTCATTGCTGCCTAATGTCATTCATTGCTAGGATGCAGACAGCCATTGCTGCCTAGTGTCATTCATTGCTAGGAAGCACACAGCCATTGCTGCCTAGTGTCATTCATTGCGAAGATGCACATGGCCATTGCCTCCTAGTGTCATTCATTGCTAAGATGCACAAGGCCATTGCTGCCTAGTGTCATTCATTGCTCGGATGCAGACAGCCATTGTTGCCTAGTGTCATTCATTGGTAGGAAGCACACAGCCATTGCTGCCTAGTGTCATTCATTGCGAAGATGCACAAGGCCATTGCTGCCTAGTGTCATTCATTGCTATGATGCACACGGCCATTGCTGCCTAATATCATTCATTGCTACAACGCAGATGTCTCCTGTATTGTAATAGAGTACATTTACATGTAAGCACAATCATTTACACCTGCACAGCATAAATTACACTCCGTAAGCTGGACCTTGGACACAGATTTTTAATTTTTTTATGCACCTGACTGCAGCTCCAGATTACGGAGCTGTATGCAAATGTGGGTATGGGCCCACAGAATATATTAAAGCTGTATTCAGATCCCTCAAAAAATGTACGCATTACAGATCTAAAAGCAGTGTATTCTGCACCCATGTACATAAGCCCTTACATGACACTGCACACAAAGCGTACAATTTCAGACCACAAAGAGTTCCACAAGTCCGAAGGATAAAATTAGTAACCGAAGACTCCCATATCCATACTATCTTTGAAAAGCTACTAAGAATAGCTTTGTATTTAACTGGCCTAACATTTGATAAAGAAAACCTAATTGTGTACTTAAAGCTTAGTCACAAGAGCAACTGCATAACTGCCCAGATCCTTGTACTTTCCATAATCCACCAACATCCTGAAGAATTTCGTGCAGAGTGGATGGAGAATTGAAGATTTCACGCAAGACCAGCGCAAATTGACATTGCTGCATCCTCGCTACACAGAAGACATGAAATCATGAAATCCTTCCATCTCATTTCCCCCACATCATGTGCTGTCTACTGGCACTTCACAGCATTTGTATTCGTCTTCTAGCATGCAAGACTTCTGATTCCATCTACACAGGGTACAGCGATGAACTGTAATGGAAACAGATCAGCACGCTGTATATTTAATGCTACGATATAACACAACCAGCATTTGTGTCTTATCTCTTTTTATGTTATCTTGTCTAGAATGACTACTACAGGCATTGCTGCACGTCTATGACAGTCCTATCTGGTATAAGCTACAGTGAAGGCTGACACACAGCTAACACACTGTGCTCCATCCAACAACCCACAACACTACCCCTTCCATCACATCCCAGGAACAATAGATTCCGTTCAATAATGACAGCACCTAATTCCTCATCCACACCGTGCCTCCTATTTCCTTGTCAACAGAGATGCAACCAATGCCTGCACAGCATCACATTATTTTTTATTGGACACAACCACAAAGCCATTTCATCAACAAACCGGAAAGCGTTACACACACACACAAATGTCTTTTATTGGCTGATACCGTTGGCAAAGATTGCGTCTCCTAGCCAAGTGGAGAGAAGAAATAACCATCATTCTAATTAATAAGGAAACATCGCTCTCCTTTTTGTTAGAGGAGCTGATATATTCATTTACCCTCCATATCCCTGGCACCTTAATATGAACAGATTCATTCAGTGACACCCCTCCACACCTAGGCGTACCAGGAAAGCGCATTTGCGCACGTTCTTGTGCATTTTTTATTTCCGCAATTGCCGCAGGTCCCCATTGATTTTGATGGGTGCCTACACCGGAGAGTGTCTCATTTGGCAGATTCTGCTACATATGTACTACGTTTTTGCTTGTTTTAATGTGCGTGAATATGCAGGAAAAAACTTGTATTTTCCTGGCTACCTTTGGGGTGCCATTAGCAAGTAATGGAACAACAAGCATGTTGCACGTTTTTGAGGCATTATGTGAACGAGCTTCAAAGCTTACGTTTTTTTCTAAGCATTTGGCACGCATTCACGGAACACCTAGGTGTGAACAGGGACTTAGTCCCCATTTACACATAGTCGTATGGGAAAAGCGCGTGAAATGCGCACAAAATTGTGTGCTTTGACGAGTGGTCATGAAATGCACCCTAACGCGCTTGCAGCGTCATTATCTGTTAATGGAACCCCAAAACGTAGCCATTCAAAAAGCGCATGAAAAAAAGCAAAATGCATGTCGCAGCATGCGCAAGTTTTGTGAGCGTCTGTCACCCATTGAAAACAATGGGGACATGAGCCTAACATGGGAAACAAAAGCCTGCAAATGCATGCCCCTGCTACACCTATGTGTGAATGGAGCCTTAGAGATAACACCTACTTCAATCACATTTTGTTTGCTAGAGCACTGTGTATGCAACAAGTATTGATTCTTTTTTAACAATATACTGTTGGTTTTGTTTTTCTTGTTCAATATTTTTACAAGTTGTCACAAATGTCCAAGGATACAATAATATACAGTGCAAAGCAGGCTACACCAGGATAAAGTACAAGCGTGCAGTCACTATGTAGACACATAACGAAGGAACAAGAGCCATACACATATTGTGTCTCATATATCCAGCAGGCTCGGTGCTTTTATTTTTTCAATGTTTCAAACCTTTTCCCATTTCAGTGCTGCTGATCTCTTTGTTGTCTACATACATGCACTCCAGCGGCATGTCACTGACAGTGGCGGAACATGCCTGCAAAATGAGCTTCGTTCACCTCTTGTGCATTGATCAGTGTTTTTCTGCATGTATGGTGTGAACAGGGCACTTACAGAACAATAGTTTTCTATGTGCTGTATTCCCACCATGCATATGACATGGTGTGCAGAAAAACAGAGCTCAAATGTGCAAAAACAGAGCCCTTAGACTCCTCTGGAAGTGCATGTGACAAAGGGACAACACATGAGACTAACTGGGAGACAGCAACAGAGAGTTGTCACCTTTTGGGCCCTTTCACACCATGTCCGGACCAGATCTGGATGTGTTCCTGCAAACGTGGTGCAGTTTGCTTTTGATGCGTGTTTGCTACGTTTTTGATGTGTTCTAGTGCTTTTCTTTAGTGTGAATAGGCTCAGTGTTCAGTGTGTTTGAATGCGTTTTTGTGTGTTCCAGGCCAGAAAAATGTGATATGCAGTCAGGGGCGTCCCCAGAGCGGCTGCCGGGTCACACCCCGCTTGGACGTCATCACACATGCAGTACCTTTTTTTTAAGGCACTGGAACTGAACGCAATGGTGTGAACTAAGCTCAGAAACACCATAGCAATACATGGGGATGTGTTTTTGGACCAGACAAAGAAACTTCCTGGTCTGGATCTTGTCTGGACATGGTGTGACATGGCCTTATAACAGGAACTGCCTGAACAAGGCCATTTCAGGCAGGATCACAAGGTATTATTTTAGGTTCTTGGGCACTAAAACATTTACCACACAAAACCACTTTGTGTGCACCAAATGCCTTTTAAAACACAGATGTTACCATGTAAAATTAGATGGAACATAATCACTGTATTGTGCTGAGAGCAAAGCTGCGGGAGGGGCCTAACAGGCCCACCCACCACAGGAAGGGGCAGATACAAGACCAGTCACCCTGCACAAGAAGAGAGAACAGCCTTGGCCATTCTTTATTACAGGAAGCTCCAAGTTTCACCCTGGAATACAGCACAGATCTGGAACTAATACACAAAAGCACACCAAGATTCTAGTATTGAAATTTAGACAATATTACCTTTCAGGTTTATTGAAAAGGTACAGATCTTAAAAAACAAATACAAATGACATCTACTTCAATATAGAAACACCAATCCCCTTTTATTTTGGGGACCTGGGTAAATGCTTTCCCCCTCAATAGCCCTGGAATGTAAATATAAACATATACCTCCCCCCTTGTGACTAACACTCTCTCTTGCAATCATTTGGCGTTGCGCCTCGTCTGTGTACTAAAGGATCCCACTATCTCTCTGGGTGCTCAGCCATTCACTTGCCATCATTTGGCGTTGCGCCTCTCCTGTATACTAAAGGATCCCACCATCTCTCTGGGTGCTAAGCCATTCGCTTGCCATCATTTGGCGTGGCGCCTATCCTGTATACTAAAGGATCCCATTATCTCTCTGGGTGCTCAGCCATTTTCGCTTGCCATCATTTGTCGTGGCGCCTATCCTGTATACTAAAGGATCCCATTATCTCTCTGGGTGCTCAGCCATTTTCGCTTGACATCATTTGGCGTGGCGCCTATCCTGTATACTAGAGGATCCCACTATCTCTCTGGGTGCTCAGCCATTTTCGCTTGACATCATTTGGCGTGGTGCCTATCCTGTATACTAAAGGATCCCACTATCTCTCTGGGTGCTCAGCCATTTTCCTTTGCCATCATTTGGCGTGGCGCCTATCTTATGTACTAAAGGCAGATCACAGGTGATCTATAGTGACACATGATGTAGTCAGACACAAGGAAGTAGAAGCTCACTTGGCATTGCACTTATTGGAAGGGTTCGGCTATGACTAGTATTTCTTCTGGCATATGGATTCATGATTCTGCTATCAACCTCTTAGATGCCACAGCAGCACAATGCTCAGTGTTGTTTTGGGGGAGCATGGATCAGCAGAGCGGGCCGTGATTGGTCAGTCGGGGGTGTGACAATTATGGGCATATGATGGGGGGATGCTTCTGCTGAGATCAATGAACTGACAGTGTGAGATGAAAGGTGGACAGAACATAGGAATTACTTCGATCGGGGACTGATCCCCAGGTCATGTGCTTTGTTTCCCCTGATATGAATGAGATCAGGCTTCCCTATATAACCCGATCCCTATTGATCCTACCTGACTGTGCTGAGTATACACTGACAGCTGGGAGAGGGAGCCATGGGGGAAGGGGCGCTAGGGACATTTAAATGGAGATGTCGCCAGCCTTAGCCTGCTCTCCTGTTCTTTGTACGGCAATGCGGCATATGCGGGCGATGTATGGCTCTGATCTTACCTGGCCCGGAGCGCTCCGTGACGATGACAGCTCCATCTTTCCGAATGCGGATCTCGGAGGCTCCGGCGATCTTCCGCCGTTTCTCGTCCGCCCGCAGGGATGCACAGCACTGGTAGCACACAGCCCACGCCTGCTCCTCATTGATGGGCTGGTTATATAAATCCAAGATCTCCTCCAGAGACAGCGAGTCGTGTCCGTCCGCCGCACCGATCCCACTAGCTGACCCGCTGGCCGGGCTAGCCGGACGCTCAGCCATTCCCGGTGTCAGTGCGCCGAGCTGCACATCCCGGGCATCGTCCCGCCTCTCCTGTGCGGGGAATGCGGCAGCATCAACATCCCCAGCCGCCTGACCGGGTGCCGAGCCTGGAAGCTCCCTTCTCCGTGACGTCCTGAGGAATGCGACGTCACGGCTCAGGGTGGAGCCATACACCTCCGTCTGTTTGTCTGTCAAGATCATGGACACATGGCATGTGACGTGCTGCCCGCCCCGCCGGCCGCCGCTTGTCTGCCGTTCATGTCATTGTCACCTGGCTGCAGTGTCATCTTATTATTGGGATCCCTTATATATGATAGGACGCGATGGCTCTGTTCCTGGACCATGGTGACCGGTCTTCTTCATACAAAGGCATCTTGTAATAAATGCACCCACATGAATAAACCAAATGCATTCATCACATTCTGCAATGAAGTCTGCAGAGTATTGCAACTATCAGTGGATCCAGTTGCAATGCTCAGGCTCCTGCAGACTCTTTCCCCAGCTCCACAGGAAGGAAGCAATCAATGGACCACAAGTGCAGTCTCATCCATTGAGATGTACCACGCAGATAGCAAAGATAACTTGCCACAAGCTTGTGGCAGGGTTTAATTGTAATTCTTGTTAACTAGCCGCACACATTCCTGGCAAGTTGTAGACTTGCAGCATAAGTTCTAGTTGACACTTTTTGAATTTGTAGAAAATTTACTTGGCAAGTCTACAGCAAGTGTCCTGCAGGTCTTAGCAAGAGCTCTGCAAGCTTGCTGGTCTGGAGACTTGCAATGCAGACTTGCTGTAATCGTGCAACAAAATTGTGAAGCTTGGCAAGTCTGCAATAGTTTAGCAAGTCATTTTCAAACGTGCAGCTCAATTGCTTGCTATCTGGCCAGTTCCTCCGCCACGGTGGCAGATGGGATTTGCAGTCTATTTATTCACTGGTATCCAGGAATATATTATGGGGATGTGCGGATGGAGCCAAAATGCAAATGAAAACAGAATAGGCGGGGAAAGAACCACACTTTTCTTGTAGGTGGTGGGGTGGATTGAGGGTGGAGGGTTATTGTGTCCATGTTTTGTGTTACATTCTCATATGGTTGTGACATGAAACACATTCAGAAAGATGGAATATGTTTTTCTAAGTCTTCCTAATACAGCTACATAATATTTATTGATACAAAATAACTAAACATTTGCCGGTCCTACCCAGGGGAAAGTTCTTAGGGAAGACCAGGATGTTTGTTAGACCCAGGCACCCAGGGCACATGCCCCAGGTCTTATACACAGTGCTCCAGGTCTTCTATGGAGTTCCCTGGTTCTTCTACTAATTGCCCCAGATCTACTGAGTGTCTTGGGTCTTCTACTGAGTGCCCCAGATCTACTGGGTGTCCTAGGTCTTCTACTGAGTGCCCTCGGTCTTCTACTGAGTGCCCCGGTTCTTCTACTGAGTGCCCCGGGTCTTCTACTGAGTGTCCCGGGTCTTCTACTGAGTGCCCCGGGTCTTCTACTGAGTGCCCCGGGTCTTCTACTGAGTGCCCCGGGTCTTCTACTGAGTGCCCCGGGTCTTCTACTGAGTGCCCCGGGTCTTCTACTGAGTGTCCCGGGTCTTCTACTGAGTGCCCCGGGTCTTTTGCTGAGTGTCCCAGGCCTTCTCTTGAGTGGGCCAGGTCTTCTACAAAATACCCCGGGTCTTCTACTGAGTGACCCGGGTCTTCTACCAAGGGTACTGGGTCTTCTGCTGAGTCCCCCGGGTCTTCTGCATAGTGCACTAGATCTTCTGCCGAGTGCCCTGGGTCTTCTGTTGAGTGCCCCAGGTCAAAATCCTCATCGGTATAACTATAAGGGCTCACTCACATGGCTGTACACCATCCAGATCAGCATATTTATGTGGTTGGTATGGCCAGGTGTTTCTGATAAGCTGTGGAGGAAACCTGTTCAAATAAAAGACTTACACTGCTGTTCACATGTAATATTTCAAGGAGTGATTATCTGTGACTAGGGACAGAGGAACGGCTCTGTACGCAGACTGTTTGTGTCTAGGAACGCTCATCTGTCCCTAACCGCAGGTATTCACTCCATGTGCAAATACAAGTGGACAGCTCCGGAGCCTCTCTTTGATTTGTACAAACTAAGCAGCCACAGCTAATTGAAAATACCCATCCATGCCCGCCCCACAAATATATAAATCTGAGCAGTGTATGACCATGAACATCCGAGTGAACGAGCCCTAAGAACACAAGGAAATGTTTGTAACAGAATTAATCCTAATTTAGGGGTGTTACTGAGGGCACCAAATGTTTTCTGCATATAGGCTCCAGTGAGGAAAATCCAGCCCCACCTTGGATGTATAGTGAGTAGTTGGTGTCCACTGGACGACAGTGGAGTGTAGCGGTGCCTGGCGCTGTAACAACGCAAGGCACAGTTTAATTTTTTTTGAACTTTATTAGCAGCTGTGGCAGTGCATGGCAATGCTGTGGCGTAGTATAGCAACATTGGCACCCAGGACTCTCAGCCAAAGGGGCTGAGAGGGTCCAGAGTGTAAACAATGTTATAAGGAAGAGCCTGGCTTTTCAGGTCCTTCCAGGTTTTCCTAATTGTAGCTGGGATCCGGAGCTCTGGAGATCTCTTAGAGCTCTGGGTGGGATAAGACCTCCAGTCCTGGGGCCAGGTTTTACCAATGACCAGCTTGGGCTGATCAAGTGGCTGAGAGTTGCCTTTTTAGGAGTCTGGACCAGAGTTGTGGAGTGTGAAAGTTGTGTGGGTGCAGGGGGCACAGAGCCACAGCAGACTCAAGTGCGTGCTGGACACGTGGAACAGCCAGGGAAGGCTGGGAGAGGTCGGGAAGGTCGGTGACCCAAGGACCTGTGGGATACACTGCTGAGAGAGCAGAGTGAGGGCTCTCGAGGGGAGAGCAGCGCGAGTTTCTTGGAGCTGTGGAAAACCACAGAGCGAAACTAAAAGAATGTCCTTTATGTTGCTGCTAGAAACTGTCTTGTGTTAATAAAACTGCATTTTACTTGCACCTCCGGTCTACAGTCGAAGGTCCTTGTTACACAGTGTACAAAGTGTATTCGCCATTTAGGTCTCTGCACAGCAGCACATGACATCCAGTACCATCCAGAACACATTTTTCCACAGTGCATACCACAACACATTGTGTTGTGATCAGGGCACCTAAATAATTGTTTTCTGGTTGACTTTGCAGTAACTGGTGTTGACCCAATGTAGAAAAATGCCAGTCAAAGCAAAGAGTATTGTTGCATGCGCTATTTTTTAATGGTTTGGGTGCTATTCAAATGAATATTAGCGCGTCGCACTTAGCACAAGAGTACCACACACCAGGTGCACTTTGCAGTGCTTTAACCCCTTCGTGACGGGAGACGTACAGTGTACGTCCCGTCACAAAGTGGCTATATGACTGGCCACGTACACTGTACGTGCCGAGTTATATTAGCCTCTGTAATGCTGGTAACTGCTGATTCTCAGCAGTTCCAGTCATTAATTAATGCCTCACTATTGAGACATTCATTAATGAAATAGTTAAGCTTTTTTAAAATCAATAACTCAGGTCCCTCCCTCCTGCTCTCTTCTGCAGTAACAAGTTTCAAATAGAGAGAGGTGTTAAAAAGTAAAACACTTTTACTATGTACTCTCTTTAGAAAGCCCATAAGGTTGTGTTGCCAAAGTCTTTGAAGCGTTCCTTTGCCACTGAATACAAATAAAAATACAAAAGTATCCGCTTGTCATCTGTGTAGGGTTCATATTAGGAATCACAAGAGCAATACATGCAATTTGTAGTACCCTATAGCAGTGCTCCCCAACCTTTTTATCGCCGCGGACCGGTCAACGTTTGATAATTTTACCGTGGCCCGCTGAGGGGGGACGTTGATTGTTTATATTTTAGATTG